CACAACAATAGATTCAGACAGGTTCTACTCAAATTACAAGAGGTAGTATTGACGTTAGCTATAAGGAAATTTGAGCTGAGTAAAGCTAAAATCAATTTTTTAGTTTATGGCTTAGATTTTTAAGATTTACATGTAATTAATAAAAAAATAGAGGCGATTGTATAAATTTCAAGACCAAAAAACGTTAAAGAATTACAAAGGTTTTTGGGCATGATGAATTTTTATTCTATGTTAAAAAAAAATTATTCTTTGTTGGTAAGCCCTTTACATGATTTGGTAAAAAAATAAAAAAATTGTTCTGGTGAAGAGATTGTGAAAATGCTTTTAGCAATGAAAAATGTAGATTAGCGTCCTATAAATTGCTGATGCATTTTGACGCCAAATTACCTATTAAGGTAACGTGCGATGTGTCACCAACAGGTATTGGTGCTGTTCATTCACATGTAATGTCCGATAGCTCTGAAAGGCTAGTTGCATTCAAATTACGTACGATTACCAAAGCTGAAAAAAATTACGCATAACTAGATCATGAAACGTTAGCAATTGTATTTGCAGTTCATAAATTCCATTAATTTTTGTTCGGTTTTGGTTTCCTTCTTAAGACTGATTAAAAAATTCTTTTTTTCATTTTCGGGAACAAGTACGGTAATCCGCAAATATCTGTAAAGGTGGGCAGTTTCCTTATCGGGTTACAATGATGAAATTCGACACATTATGGAGAAAAACAACAAACATGCTGATTGCTTAATAAGATTTAGTTTAAGCAGTTCAATTGACAGATACACAGATTGTTACTCTAGCTTAAATTTTGTCGCGGAGATAATTGATCTTTGATCTCTGTTAATGATTTGCAAGCCGCATATAATGATTGTCCAGTGCTCAAAATTGTTCGAAAATACTTTAGAATTGGTTGGCCAGGTGTGGTCAGTGATGTGTTGAAAGTTTTTAAAAAACAGAGCGTCTGAATTGTTGTTAGAAAACAATTGTATTTTATAGGGATCGATTAATTTTACCAACATCCGTGCGTGATACGGTTTTATCTGGATAGCATAATGGCCATATGGATAGATAAGATAAAAGCGCTGGTCCGCTCCTGTGTGTGGTGATCCGGGATAGGCACATACATTGAAAACGTAACTAAATGGTGTGAATTATGCTTACGACATGGTATTGATCCACCGAAGGCTAAGCTGCATGTCTGGGAATGGCCAGATTTCCCTAATGAACGTATTCATGCGGATTTTTTAGGTCCAGTTCAGCGCTTTATGTACATGATTATTACTGATGCTCATTCCAAATAAGTAGATGCAAAGGATGCGTGACATTACGGCTAAATCTACAATCTCGGCTATGCCATGTCCAATAGAAGTGTTAAACCTAAGTATTCCTGCTGCATCAGCTAGTCTCGATTCCGTTGCGACTCATAAAAGTACAGTTAAGTCACTACCCAAGAAAACCGTGGTTTCAAATTCTGAAGTGTCAAATAAAGATAACGAATATGTATCGAAAAAAGCGAAACCACCGGACAATATTGAACCGCTAACGCGATCTATAGATAATTATAACTAAAGTCAATTGAAATGACATTTCTTTTCTAGCGGAAAAGGATTGTAGTATACGTAACTATCGCCATTTAGTGGCTAAAGTGAACGTTGGTACTGTAACGAGCGAGCAACAGCAAGCGAAAGTCTCTGCGCATTTCATATTTGACTGCACATACAGTCAGGCGTACTTGTCTCGACGTCACTCTGTACATAAATATACTGGCTATTATAAGTAACAATAAACGTTTGCCTCAAACTAGCGTATTTATTTCTTAACCTTAATACATTACACTTATGTTGCTGGAAATTATAAAAAAAGAGAAAAAAAGACTTCTGATACTAAAAATGTATCGAAAACTTTTAGAACAAAAAATTGAAAACCACAAAAAATCGCGTTCTTGCCATTGTTTTTCTAAGTCTGCATGGTGCTTTAAAAAAGGCCGTACGGAATTTACAAAAAAAATTCAGCAGTAAAATTAAAAAAAAAAAAAATCTGATTTACAAAGAGTTACTCTGTATAAAAGTTGATAGTGCATAACGATGCAAAAATATCCTCCACGCTTGTGAGACGCCCTTGTTAATGCAACATATATACATTTTACATAGCTAATAGGCATCTCCGATTTTGATTTTTTTTCGGGGACTGTTATATACGCTAAGAGGAGAAAAAGACGATAGCTGAGGTTGAGTTGCTTCCTGTAATATAACGCTGATGACCGCAATGGTTGAGTTGCATCCCAAAGAGATGTAAACTTGCGTTCTGTTCTTTAAGGATGATGGTCAAATGGCGTCCATGGAGATAATGTACATAAAGTAGGACAGCATAAGCTAGTTCTACTCGTGTACGGTTGGTAAAGAAAGAAAGAAAACGAGAGTGGCATTACATCTCTCTCTGCCCTCTACGGTGATTGGTTAAGGTGGCTTCCTTGTCTACTGCTCTAGTCAAGTAGGAGAATTTGACTCTTGCATTATCTAATATCATGTATTATATAAACAAATATCCAAAAGATATTTGTCTAGAAAAACGGGAAAATCAGTTTCACGTTTAGAAAATTTATATATATATATATACATACGTACAAAAGTGTCGGTGTTCTGCTACCGTCCATGAAACTGATTTTCACGTTTTTCTCGACAAACATCTTTTAAAAATGACTGATTACCAGCATTTTCCAAAACAGAATTAAAAAGAATGGAATTTTTTCTACAAGTACATTATAAAATGTCTGCTTAGATTTTCGATTTTGAGTTGAAAAATGCTTGTACATTTGATTTTTTAATGCTCTTCCATTTAAGGTCGTATTAAACGGTTTAACTTTGAGCTGAAATTTCTCGAGATTCTGTCCAATTTGAAGTATAAACAGAGTTACCATTGGATTGAGCAGATTTCAATCTACTAAATTTAACATATTTTGTTTCTCAGGTTTTCGCAAGGGAAATAGAGTAAGTAAATTACTGAAGTAAATCATCAACTAGGCAAGGAGGAGCAAACTGCAAAGGAGAGTAGAAAGAAATGTAATGTCAGTACTAATTTCGCAAAATTACAAGCATTGGTACAAGCTGAACTGTTACATGTTGAATTCAAAACAATAAGCGTAAGTACTACAGATTTACGAATTTACATTTAGCAGTGGTCTGTACAAGGTGTAACTAAAAAATTGGTATAAATCACCCTAATGATGAGACGCAACTCAACTATGGCCGTTAATGACTAGGACGAAACTCGGACAACCTATTGAATTACCGGGAGACAGGTCGACTCTTATTATTAAAACGGGATGCAACTCGACAACTGCAAAGAGGATGCCAATGAGAGAGAGTTTTTGAGAAGGTGCATAGAGTGTTGATGACTATAGATGAAGAGAGAGAGAGAGAGAGAGAGAGAGAGAGAGAGAGGATAGTGTGTGTGTGAAAGTTTGGCAGTGATCGCGTTTTCTTGAGGCGAGAATCTTTCCAATAGTTGAAGGCAACGGAAGTGGCCAGGACCAGGAAGAGGGTAAGAAAGCAAGTGAGGTAAGAGAAGCCAGAGGATGGATGATAATCTAGAGGACCTTGGAAGCTACCACGTTGTTACGACTTATGAGCGTTTTGTCAGAAGATCAGGCTAGCTAGAGTAAAAGAGGTTTGGCGTGTGTGGACGTAATGAGGAGGAGTATGAGGGATCGCGAAGTGCATGCATGTGAGTGTCGTCGTTACTGTGTCCCGCTGTGTAGAGACAGAGGGAGAGAAAAGAGAGAAATTGAGAAAACAAGATGATAAAATTTAGGTAGAATATGAGAGAGAGGGATAGGTAGAGTAGTTTAGAGTAGTACCAATAAGTAGAGTAGTGTACAGTAGTTATCGAAGTGCAGCAAAATAGCGTTGAGTATTTGAGAGCAGTGTAGAGTAAAAATTGGAAGAGTTAGCGAAGACGAGAGAGAGAGAGAGAGAGAAAGGGTAGTATAGAGTCTTAATGAGCAGTTATAGAATAGCGAGAAAGAAAGAGATTGTTAAAATTGTTTAGATATTTATAGTGCCTTGGGGAAGATCCTCATTTAGCCAAAGTTGAATTATAAAAGTAATAAACAGCTTACAAACAGTGCTTACATGATAAAAACAACATCGAAGCATTTAAATTAAAAGTAAAGATATAACTAGTGATCTTAAACGAGGACTGATTTGATGCAATTGAAGGCGAATAGAAGGCTACGTGATTGTGAAGGCTAGAGCAGGCTAATGAGGTAGGTGAGCAGGATGTAGAGATGGCAAACGCAAGATTAGAGTGGTGAGCAGATGGTAGTGAAAATGACGCGTGACAGAGTTGATAAAATAGCAGAGCTCAGAATGAAGATTGGTAAGATGTATGAGGGTGTCGAAGAGAGAAAAGAAGACCAATCAGAAGATGAGTAAGAAAAAGAACAGAGAGAATGAGGTTGAATGAGTCGAGGGAAAAGGGTGAAGAAGAGGAATGAGACTAAGAGTAGGGGTACCTGTGGCTGAAGTGGACCAAGTGGTGCATGATAGACAACAAGGAGGCGACCATATCACCAGGTCACCCGCACCACTGGGGAGCCAGACAGAGGGGCCGCCACCTTCGCTCTCTACACGCTTGTTCCACTCGGTCCGATCGTGTTAAAGGAGGACATTTTGAAGCATGGATTTGAATGTTGAGTATGTCAAGTTGAAGAGGTTGATGGGTGCAAGAAAATTGAGAAGGTCAAAGGCCTATAATCGATTGAATCACGCGTAAAAACTAGAACGAATTTCATTACTCTAGGTGATATTTGTATAGATTCTAGACCCTTCGCGAATTAAAATACAATCAGCCCCTTTTACGTAACCTCTAAAAACGATACCTTTACTCGTAACGGTACTTGTTGTTCTTAAATCACGAACGAGACATCATTCAATAAGCCTGCGCTGCTTCGAGTAGCATTGATAAATCTTCGGCGTGCCATGAGTGAGCGCATTGAGATACTACACAACAGCCACTTTGAGTCGTTTCATCTTGATTCCCTTCACTCGAATACAGTCGTACCTCTTTGCAAATACCCTCTCGCCTAATTTAACTATTCTATAGCCTCGCATTCCACCTACGCGCCCAGTGTGAGTCCCGAGTTGTTAAGAGAAAGCTTAGACTCAAATAAATCGTCGCACCGACGTAACAGTAGAATTAAAATTAGAAAATTTTTAATTTTAATGACAATAGTTTAATAATCTTTACCTTTTTCCTCATAGCATCTTGAAAATGGATCTCCTGTTGAGCCAGAAGGACAACTACAGAGTGGATTGTGGTTAATCACTCGGCACTGTGCTCCAAGACCACAAGTTCCAGGACACGGATCATTGCACTTATTTTTATAACAAGCTCTATTTTGTGGGCATTCTGAATTGACCAAACATTCAGGTTTACAGTTTGGTGGTGAACCAAAGTAAGAGTCTTGGCAGCTACACACAGCCTGGTCATTAATTTGTTTACAAATGCTGTACGGGCCACAAGGAGATGGATTACACAGCTCAGTGGCTCTAGTTGGTTCTGTGACTGAAACAAATAATAAGGTATACATTTAAATTACATTAAAGATTTAGATAATGTACTTAAGTAAAGACAAACGTATATGGACCATATTTACCTGGTTCATAAGTACACCCTGAAAATGGTTCACCAATATATCCAGGTTGACACGTACACGTTGGTATATGATTAACAACCGAACACTGAGCTTGGGGGCCGCATATTCCTGGACAAGGATCTACACATTTGTTCCTCAAACAAGCTTTATTGGTTTGACAATCTGAGCTGTGAGTACATTCAGGTTGACATCCCTCATATGGGTTGCCATGATAGTCTTCAATGCAAGTACACGCACCGGCGTTATCTTTACGTTGGCAAATAGCATTTGAACCACAGGGAGAAGGTTCGCAAGGATTCAGGGTTACTTCTACCAGTTGAACACACTGTATAAAAGGATTACCAGTAAATCCAGTTGAACATGTGCAAATCGCTGCATGATTTATCACTGAACATTCTGCGTTTTCTCCGCATGAACCAACACATGGATCTTGACATTTTTTATTGATGCAAGCACGACTTGAATGACAATCAGGATTAATTAAACATTCTGGGCGGCAGTTAGGCGGAGTTCCCACATAATTATTCTGGCAAGAGCAAACTGGGCCATCATTAACATTTTGACAAATAGAATGTGGCCCACAAGGTGATGGATCACAAGGTGATTCTATTTTTGGTTTCACTGTTGCTAAAAAATAATAACTTATATTACAGATTATTGCATAAGATCATTAAGAATCTTATTTAAATGTCTATGAAAATATTATTTTACAAAATTCTGTTAGATTAGATTTATTTAAACATTAGACTACAGTCACCTGGAAATTCAAAGCAGCTTTCAAATGGATCTCCAGTTTGTCCAGGTAAGCAGCTACAGATGGGAGAATGATTAATAACCTCACAACGGGCATTAAGACCACAAGAGCCCAGACATGGATCAGTACACTTGTAATTTACACATGATCTTTTTGCGGAGCATTCTGAACTAACAACACATTCTGGTCTACACGATGGTGGTGTACCAATATATCCAGAAATACAAGAGCAAACGGCATGACTTTCAATGCTTTTGCAAATACTGTTAGTTCCACATGGAGAAGGGTTGCATGGGTCTAGCGAAGGTTTAGATCCCTTACGTAGTACTCGACAAGTAATAAAAGGATCTCCTGTGTATCCAGTTGGGCATGAACAAACTGGAATATGATTTATCATATCACACTGAGAATGTTGGCCACAAGTACCAGGGCAAGGATTTCTACACTTATTTCTTATGCACATCTTATCACGTGAACATTCTGAACTGATTGTACATTCTGGGCGACATGCTTCAAAAGGATTGCCTATGTATTCAGGTAGGCACTCACAATCGCCATTATTACATATCGCGTTCGGTCCACATGGTGATGGATTGCATGGATTTTTTGGTATAGAGGGACCTATGATAAAAGTTAATCATTATTCTTAAGGGATCACAATATTTTGAAGTGTACAAAAAACAACAGTATGAAAAAAATAGACTTTGATTAAATATTAAAAACCTACTACTTAGTTCTGGAGAGCACTGAGAAAATGGATCACCAGTAAAACTTTCAATACATGTACAAACTGGAATGTGATTTAAAACATGACACTGAGCGTAAAGACCGCAAGAACCACTACATGGATCATGGCATTTGTTTTTTATACAAGCTTGCTCGCTCTTGCACTCAGAGTTAAGGATGCATTCAGGTCTACAGTCTGGTGGTATACCAATATAGTTTGGTAAGCAGGAGCACGCTGGATTTCCAGATATTACTTGACACAAAGAATTTGGTCCACAAGGCGATGGGGTACACGATGGTGGTTTTTCTGTTATCGTATCATCCCGAGCTGAAAGGTTAATAAAACCGTAGTAATATTTTGTGCTATTTATATTCAGATTTAATTGCGTGCAAATGCTAACAGTAGTTTTGCAAGATCTAAAAACTACCTTGTTCAAGGCATTGTGAAAATGGATCTCCAGTGTAACCAGGTGGACACGTACAAATAGGACTATGATTTTTTACAGCACATTGAGCTCTTAAACCACAAGTATTAGGACATGGATCAGCACACTTGTTATTTATGCAAGCCAAATTGATAGGGCATTCAGAGCTAACTCGACACTCAGGTTTGCATTGTGGTGGTTCACCAACATAATTAGGTAAGCATGTACAAACAGGTTGGCCGTTAGCTGCTCGACATTTACTGTTAGGTCCACAAGGTGATGGTGAACATGGGTCTGTTGGTGGAGCTGGTGCTGGAAAAATACGGCACAAAAGTGTAATGTAAAATACAGACTATGTTGGTGTATACAATCATAAAAATTGTATTATTACTAGTTTAAAAAAAATTTGTTATGAATATGTAAAAAGATTTTTGTTAGTGCAATCTAGAAAATAATGAGAGAGAACAATTTTTATTTGTTTTATTAGAAAAATCTGTATTTACTTCGTCCCTCTTCACACGCATAATATGGATCACCAATAAATCCATTGGGGCAACTGCAGGTCGGTATATGAAGTTGCACAATACAATTGGCAAAAATTCCGCAAGTGCCTGGACATGGATCAATACACTTATAACCTGTACAAGCCAAATGTGGTAGGCAGTCAGTATTAATTTCACACTCTCGTTGACATCCTAACTGAATATCATATGGATCGCCAAAGAAATCCGCAAGGCAGGCACAAGCACCTGCTCCATTTTTCTCGCGACATTGTGCATTAGGCCCGCATGGATTTGGTACGCACGGGTTTGGTGGTGGCTCTTCCGTTGCTGAAAGTGTTATCATATTTATTAGTATGACTGTCAGCATTACTGTTTTTTTTTTTTACTATTATTTTAANGTACAATTTCGTTTATCAGCATTAATATCACCATCATAACAGTCACCACTGCTATTATAATCATGATAATTATTATCGTTATCACCATAACCATCATCATCACTATCATCATCAATATCGACATTATTAAAACTAGCATTTTTATTATTATTATTATTATTTCTACTATTTTAACCATGATTAATTTGTAGATGTACGATATGTAATAATAAAGCCTTTTTTTAGTCCAAAAAAGCAACCTGAATGATACCTTCACAAAATCTTTACGTATACAATGCTCATAATTTTGTTTTTCAATTCTCAAATTTATTATATATTTATAACAAATGATAGTCATGTAATTAATTATGTAACACTACAAACTCACATAATAAATCACGGGATTCATCATGTTAACCCACTAGTAGCGCTGCGTGGGGGATTTAAATATAACCCTAGTGTATACACGTACAGTACATACACGCGCAGTGTCAATGGTTATGGTAAGCAATCAATGATATTTTTATTTTTAACAATACTATCAGAACTATATCCAAGCCATGGTAAGGCTGAATTAAATAATAAGCCACACTGGTATACCTTCTCTCCAGTGATCTTTTCATATAGTTCTTTTGCTTTTTGTTCCATCTGGATTCCATGAATGAGGCTTGAATTTCTGCGGAATGAACTATTTGAATATTTGACCATTTTATTTTTTAAATAAGGACTTTTTTTAAAATGAATCAAGTACATAATTGAATTTTCTTTGATTAGAAAGTAATATTGCAACTTAATATCGTTTAACAATAGTCTTTTTCAATACATGGAAAAACTGAAAGAGTAACTGTTAAAGGATGTAAGGTTCTATATCCCATTTGAAGTTTCGAAATCATACTATTATATAAAATTTTTATTGCTCATGAAAGACATGTAGTGAAGTTTATTAAAAGCTTATCTAAAAAATATTTCATGTAAATGAGTATACTTTCCAATAGTATTTGGCTAGCTTAACTAATGTTTTGGAACTTATTTCTGGAAATTTGGAGATTGCATCTGTAATTTGTAATTCTTTCACGTCAAAATTTTTTGAAAGGAACAATTTCATACATAGACTTTGTTCCTTTTTAGACTTTTTTCTACACACTTGCTTTACATCAGTTCATGCTGTAGTTTAAATATGGTACTCTTTAGTTCTATACCACATAAAGATGTTAAAACAAATGTAGGTTTGAAAATTAATTTAAGATAACATGTATACCTCGTTAAAAATATTAGTACTGCGAAATTGTATTTGCATGTTCAATTCAACCCACCTTTGCAACTACGTACACAATGTAGTTGTTTGCCTTTTTTTCCACAAGCTAAGATAAATTTTACTTCATAAGGGCTTCATACTGATCACTTAATTTTAAAACAAGAGACATTATTCGGATCTTATTTTTAGTTTTAGAGGTTATGCCACAAAATAAAACATGAAATTTTGTTTTACCATCACCTACATAATTAATTAAATCAAAAAAAGATATCAAATAAGATAAATTGGAGGTTGATCGAGCTATATATTTTAACATGATTGCAGCCCATTAGGGTTCTGTTTTACTTCACCTTGATGGCGCTAGTAATGGGTTAACATGATAAATATTGTTTTATTTCCTGAATTATTTGCGTGATTTTATTGATTTGTCCACGAGTCAATAGACTATACAGTTCAAACCTCTGGGTAATAATTATGATACATAAGTCTTCCTTACATTTAAAGGTAAAAGGTTAGAACATTTAAAATATTTGGTAAATGTAAAGCTATTACGTAACGTAAAAGTAGCAGTGATAGAAAATTTTTTAAAAAGGTTCTATCGTTAACTAAAATAAATACATGGATTCAAATTTTTTAAATTTTAACTGATATTTTAAAACCCAACAGTGAAGTATTGCTATAGATATTTTGTGCTATTTATATTCAGATTTAATTGCTTTTAATTTTTAATAAGCTTTTCAGTTGTGTAATAAAATGTAAATAAAAATATCATATGGTGATATGATAATGACTAAAAAAAAAAAAAAAATTATTTCAGAATATTTCTACAGCGAATCTCGTCACTATCCCTATTCAAGACGTAAAAATCATCTCTCCCTTTTAAGTGAAATATATTTATTGTATATAAGAATTTTTTAAATCAAGTTTAACCATTTGTCATCAACTGATGATTTTTTCATAGTCATAGAAAACGTAAAGATTAAAGAAAATTGTGTTCTATACAAAATCAAAGGTAATGAAGATGCACTTTTTGTGTTTATAGTCATTTCTGGTTTGAAAACTTCCGTTCTAATTATTTATATGTTTATAATTTTTGATGGATTGAAAAAAAAAATCGTGTATTAAAAAAAGAAAAATAATTTTAATTGGAAGAAAACATATGTGGTTAGTAAAAATCTTGCAGTAAAATATACGTAACATTATTTTTTTATTTTCTATTTTTGGTAGTGAAAATCGTTTATTTTAGTATGCGTAGAACTAATTTCATAGTTATAGCTTATCTCAAAGATTGTCGTTTCTCAATTATTTTGAATTTGGAAAAATTATTTTTTAATTTACTGGTTGTTACAGCAAATATCAACATTTAGTTCTAAAATACAAAAATAAAACCAACAAAATAGTTGCAAAATAGATTTTTATGACCATGCTTCGATTACTTCTTCTCAAATTGAGAAGCATTCACGATAAATGATGCCCTTAAACTATTAATTTGTTTCTTAAAAATGTTTTCGTGTTAATACATCACGTCAAGTATTATATATTTAAAGCTTTTCCATCCAAGCCATGGGTACATTTTTTTCTTGAGAGTAAGAAAATAATTGTTTGCAATAGTGTGCGAAAAATATGTGTATTCCGCTCTATATTTAGTGTGAAAAATAGATTTTTCCACGTAGTATGCGAAAAACATGTGCGGAAAAAGTATGTGGCAAAGATTTTTCTACACACCTGAAAAAAATTTGCTACCCACCGGATATCTCTGTTATAAACTTTACAACTTTCTCAAAAAATACTTTGATGCTATTTTGAATAGCTTTACGAATATTTTACTATCGAGCTTCATTACTGGCACGCAATAAGCACCAAATAACATTTCTTATGATAAGTTGTAAGCTCTATACACGTTGATATACAACTATCATAACCCTACTTGGTGTAAGTTTTAATTCTTAACTAAAATTCCTTCCATATGACTTTTTTTTTAAATTCCATTATACATGGTATAATTTTTTTGTTCCTTTGATTTCGTTACAATTATATAAGAATAGTGTAAGATGATGACTAAAAATGTTTTCATTATTTATTAATATACTACTATGGAGTTGAACAAAATTTGTTTCAGCTATAAAATTCTTTACAAACGTTTTTGTTTAAGAAGGTTCTAGCTATGGTCCATACGACGCTCTCTACAGTTTGGTATGTCGCGT